GCACTCAACTGTCTCCGGGGAGCCTTCTGAAGGTACAGGAGAGCAGGGGAAAGTGAAGGAACAGGCGCGCACCTCTTCCTCCTCTTCCCCATCCTCCTGTGCCTATAAGTGTCTCTGGAGGGGCAGTTGAAATGACTGGAGGGCAGGGGAAAAGGAGGAGCAGGCACATGCCTGATCTTCTCTTCCCCTGCCCTCCCATCTCTCCGTGTGCCCTCCAAAATGGCTTTGCGTATCAGAGATGGTACGCGTGCCATAGGTTCGCCAACACGGATCTAGTTCATACAAGCCATACTAACCACAACCTGCTATGATAACAACAAAATGGTTCCTATTTCTCTCTTTCCTTCCAACTACCAAGTGCCTATGCTAGTTATGGGAACACAGCATGGCACTTTACACCAAGATGTATCACAAATTCATCAAGCTCAGCAGCTTTTTAAGATTTCAAATATACTGTGTATTTCAAATATACTGTGATATTACTCAAGGAACTCAGGGCTGTTTACCACTGGCTGAAGTAGATATCTTAGTATTTAATGGTATTAAAGCTCCTTTCCCCTTTAAATGGCAATGGCATTACAGTACTTCAGCTGATTCAAAATATTAGCTACAGCATGGAAATAGAACATTAGAAATTACATTAGAAATTACATTGGGCCCAATCTATTTGAAGGCTTGTATTTCCTTTCATGAAAGAGCCAGTTTAGTATAGTGGTTTGAGCATTCAACTATGATTCTGGAGTCCAGGGTTCAATTCCTTGCTCAGCCATGGATTCTAAGTCTCACCCTGTCAGAGCCACTACCAAACAGCCGAAAGGGCCAATATCTCTATAAATCACATTGTAAAGTAGCATGGCTTTGTATTGCTTCAGCATTGGCAGTTATACATAGTCATCTAGCTTCTTCAAATGCATGGGAACAGGCTGCCCATCTTGTAACAGAGGGCAAGATTCAGTGCCAAGTCATGAGACTATGAGTTTAAAGCTGGGAGGGGATCAAATCCTGATGGAAGAAGGGAAATAAGTCATTACTCAGCACCAGAGCATTTGCTTTCTAGGAAGTAGGTCCTGGATTTCAATATACAACACAACAATTCAAAGCCCTCACATGCTTGTCTACTAGACACAGAACAGAATGAACATTCAGACATTTTTTGATTTGGGAGTTCATTTACGTTACATAGTTGAACAATATAATACTGAAGAAGGCATGCAGGTTTAACCCAGTTGTTGGACAAAGAGGGGACCGAAACCATGTTTGTTCAGCCCCTCAAGGAAAAAACTACCCAAACCATTAAAAAACTGCTCTCAAGAGTAACAGTTGGGCTTATTCATATCTTGTAACCCCCAAAACTTTAAAAAGCTGCCCCAAGCCGGTCTTGTACATTCTTGGTTATTAAACTACAGGTGCAAACTTTAATAGCAAAGCATTTTAAACCAATAAACGAAAGCACTTAAAAAAATAAAACCAGTGTAGCTTCAATGTAAGAATATTGTTTTTATATCTACTTTGCAAAAAGGAATGAGGGACAAAATGTGAAAGTCTTCCCTTTGAGCAACATTTGGATCCTTTTGTTTACAAATTTTATGGATCCTAAGTGATGTTAATGATCCAAGCTCCAGTTCCGGACTGACTGCAGTGGAATCAAGTTCATCTTTAACAGCTAAGAAACCTTCGCTATTGTAAAACAACAACCAAGAATCTAGTGGCACCTTACAAACTAACAATTTTTATTTTCCATAAAGTTTTGTGGACTGCGACCCTCTTCCGATAAGAGTCGGAAGACTCGACTCTTATCTGACAGAACTCGCCATAGGAACTTTCTT